GATAAAATGACCTTACAAATAACCGAATTTTCAGTAAAACCCAAAACAAAATATCTGGGAATTATAATTGATAGGAAGCTTCTTTGGAGGGATTATATACAGCATATAGTGACAAAGGCTGAAAAAGGACTTAATATCATGAGAGCGGTGTGTCATATGTCTTGGGGAGCTGATGCAAATATCGCAATATTATTATATAGATCCTTTATTCGTTCGATATTAGACTATGGATCCATTTTTTACCATCAAGCAGCCAATATTCATTTGCACAAAATTGATATATTAGCCAACAAATGTTTAAGACTCGCTTTAGGGGCGCTGAGAAGTACCCCAATATCGAATATGTATGTGGAAGCGTCCGAAATGCCTATCACTAAGACGGCAAGTGCTTAGCCACAAATTTCTACTAAAACTACAAGCCAAAAATAGTAGACTAATAGATAGCACACATCAACTCTTTATTTCGGACCTGACAAATGATTACTGGAAAAACAAAAAATCACCAGCGCTAGTCGAGGCATATTCTACTATAAATAATACTTTCCAAGAACTTCACAAATCTGACATACTTCCATGCTATGCAACATATTTATGGAATCAAGATCCAACTAAAATTATAATTCTACGGTATTACAGAGAATTGATGCTCTCTTCACGGAACATCACATTTAAATTCGATGTCGACAGGTTATTCCCATCCAATTTTCAAATATTTACTGACGCTTCTAAAACAGTTAACGGAGTGGCCGCAGCTATATGGGTACCAGAAACAAAATATGAAAAGGTTGAAAAATTAAATTATAAATTTTCCATATTCTCGGCAGAATCAATTGCAATATTAGAAGCTCTGAAATATATAAAAGACTCACAAAAAATAAATCAACACTACGTAATTTTCTCCGACAGTAAAAGCGCATTGGAAAAGCTAAAAAACAGAAAATGTCAGAATAATTATATTTCCATCGAAATACTTTCTATAATACAGGAATTAAAACAAAAAAATATATTGGTGAGTTTAGCGTGGATTAGGTCCCACTGTGGGTTGATTAACAATGAGAAGGTAGATCAAATCGCTAAAAATGGCACCCTTTTAACATCATGTTCCAATCATTACCCATGCACCGTAGAAGATCTAGGAAATTATGCGAGGCACTTAGCTGTGGAAAATTGGAAACAAGAATACCATCGTTCAAACAAAGGGCTATATTTTAAAACCATCCAAACTGATATTCCTCCCAAACCTTGGTTTAATAATGTAAATGCAAAAAAGCATCTCATATCTGTAATAAACAGACTAAGATTTAATCACGCACTAACCCCTGCTCATTTGCACAAAATAAATTTATCAGATAATCCGTATTGTCATTGTGGGGATATAGGTACAGCTGAACACATTATTCTAAATTGTCGAGCAATACAAGTACAAGTTATGCAATTAAATAATAGCCTTTATCAACACTTAAATATTACAAAACCATATAATCTACACCAACTGTTACAATCAAAAGAAATAAGATACTATGAGATACTTTTTCAACATATCTGTAACATTAAAATTAAATTGTAAAAAAATAGAATAAGTTCACTTCCTCTGTTAAAACTCCTTAATTGTGATCCTACCTCTCCGGGTCCTCTTGTTAGTCTAAATCGCTTAGATAGACCCATAAGCGTAATTGGGTCCATGTGATATCCCAAAAAAAAAAACAAAAAAAAAACCAACAAAAAAACAAAAAAAAAACAAAAAAAAATAAAGAAAAAGAAAAAAAAAAAAAACAAAGAAAAAAAAAATTCATAAAAAAGACTACATAATCAATTTTAAATAAACATAAAACAAAAAATTGTAAAATTGCATTTTCCCGACATCAAATCAATTAAGGAAAAAAATAATAATAATAAATTAGTTTGGCAAATTGATTCAGATTCCGCAGCCATAGTTCTCGAATTCACACACACATATTAACATTAGATTGCCAGTGTACATTTTCAAAACTCTTGCTTCTATAGCAATCGATGCTTTGCTTTTCTTAGTCGACATATGGTGGCTTTAAAAGACGTTTTTGTTACTTTTATAATTCCTGTGTATGTCTAATGTACAAAATCAATGTACCTGGATCAGTGGTACTTTTGCTTTTCAGAAATTTTCATTTATTCGAAATTGTTACAGTTTACTGTACCAAATAAAAAAATTAAATATAACAGATCATTTTCTAACTGTTCCAGATACACTATTTAGCAGAGGGGGCTATTTTCTTAGTGAGGCTATGGACTACCTATACTTTCAGGTGTGTAGATGAGCCAGAGGTAGTAAACCTAAAATAAATAAAAAAAATTATTATAAGTAAAATAAATGTTTCAAAAAGTAAACAATATTACTCACATGTTTATTTATATTATTTCGTTGGATTTTAATACTGCTCCTATCTATTGAAGTAAATGCTTTAATTTTCTTGTTATTTGCCTTTTTCAAAGAATTGTTTCATGATTGATCACATACCTTTTTACATAAGAGCAATAAGTATTTTCCTGCTGAGAACAGACATAACAGAGTTTAGCTAAAAATAATTACTAAATAATTTGATTACTGGTTTGTAAACACTATTCAAATTAAGTGCTCAAAATTTCTAGGAAACCTGAAAAATAAAAAGCATTTAGAATACAACATAATCAAAGAGTTACTGTTACAAATGGAAAGATTTAACATAAAATCACCAAGTAAAGCTAGGTTTTCAAGATATTAATTATTTGTTAATGGTTTTGTAAAGTGTAGGTCCGTAAATAATATCTTTGGGGACTGACTTTGGGTAAATATTATAACAAATAAAACTATTGCGCCAACATGTAGGCAACACGTAATAAGTGTTCAAAATAGCGGAGTTTTTTTTATCTCCTTTTAATAGGCACTCAGAAAGCTGGGCAGTGCGACCATTTTCCGTAAAGTAAGAGAAAATAGAAGTATGTGGCTAATGCCGTAAATAACGTTACTCTTTCAAGAAAGTTTTATAAGTGTCAGTGTGCTAGTGGCATACTAAATTATGTTTTAAATTCAAATATATATTAGAGGTTTCTTCAACACTCCATTATATTCCAAATTCATTTTGGTATTTTAAGGACAAAATTGAATGTATGTTTCAAATGATTGCAGCCATCATTTAGAAGGTGGATTTTGTGGACGATATAAAGCAATCTATGACAGAAACGTTTAAAATGTCAATTTGTATCTTGCAGAAAAAAATGAAATATATATCTTCAATATAAATTATATTACAGGCATGTTACTTCACAATTCTCTGAAAAGCCGATTACAGGCTACATCTAGAAATACAATTGCATAATTACCGTCTGAGAAATGTCCACTTACTAAGTTAATTATTACCTACAAAAACAAATTTAGTTTTAGTCAATTCAAGTGTTTTTATTTAAGGTTCTGATTGTCCTGTTCATACAATTTTCTAAAAGGAGTTAAGCACTTTGCGATTTACATATATACAATATTCAGCATTGCTACATTATTTAACAAAATAAAAATAGTAAGCCAAATTTATGCTATATTGAACCTAAAAAAAATGGATGGCTTCTAGTTGATATAAATTAAATTTGAGAATGTTCTATTCTTTTATTATAAAGTAGGAAATACATTTTTTGTAATTATTGTTTTATTGGAAAACGAAAAAATTAGGGGCCAACACTTTAAAGAAAGTGCATTCAGGAATGCTTGGGAAAAATGCACATTTAATTTTTATAAAAATTTCAAAATTTTTAAGCAGAAAATAATAATTTTACTACTTCTTCACTAATAATTATTACTATTATGAAGTTAGACATTTGACAAAAACAGTTTAGGCTTAATTGAGATAAATTTTAACACCAATATTTGACAATATTTTTATTGCAACACTTGGTATTAAAAACAAATCAAGTAATTTTTTTTTGCTATAAATCTGAATTTTGTTGAAAATAAAACCGTTTACTTACAAATAAAAATTATTTATTTAGTAAAAAAACAAAAAGCTAATTCTAAAATAATGTATCTTATTTTAAAGACAATAAAATGGAAAACTTTTACCAATAATTTATACGTTTGATGTACTATAAAATTTTCCAAATATTTGAGCATTTAGTTAGAGAAATTGGCAAGAAAAGTTAGTTTAAATCGAAATAATTTATACTGATATAATAATTTATTAATGTTCCTTAAAAATAAAAAAAATATCTCGAAACCCGTTAAGAATGTTATAGATGCAAATAATATTTAATCGGTAGCAAATAGGCTCTACTTTCACCTCCTCAAAGGAATACGTCCACCCTGTACAACTAATATTATTTGATGATTATTAGGTCCTGACTGGACTAATTTAAATTTTAAAATATTTTTCAAAAGAATATTATAATTTTAAACAAAAAATAAAATATTTTAGATATCATGACATAGTAGCATAGTGACATAGTGACATAGTGACATAGTGACATAGTGACATAGTGACATAGTGACATAGTGACATAGTGACATAGTGACATAGTGACATAGTGACATAGTGACATAGTGACATAGTGACATAGTGACAGTTACATAGTGACATAGTGACAGTTACATAGTGACATAGTGACATAGTGACATAGTGACATAGTGACATAGTGACATAGTGACATAGTGACATAGTGACATAGTGACATAGTGACATAGTGACATAGTGACATAGTGACATAGTGACATAGTGACATAGTGACATAGTAACATAGTGACATAGTGACATAGTAACATAGTGACATAGTGACATAGTGACATAGTGACATAGTGACATAGTGACATAGTGACATAGTGACATAGTGACATAGTAATATAGGTTCATAGTGACCTAGTGACAGAAAATTTGCAACATAGTGATGATATATGTTAAACTTACCAAACTTTTTTTTATTGCACCACTGGTTTAGGGGTTAAATAGAACACATTGAATACATATTGAAAACATTTTATTTCAAATTATGATAATAATAATTACTGTAACAATAAATTAAGAAATAATTAAAGGAAAAAGTCCGTCGCTTTAGGAGAAATAGTAGTAACATTTTCTATAGCTGCCCAATCTGGAAACTCAAAGTCCCATATTAAAGGAGAGTATACGGGAAATATTGTTACAAGCATCGATAAGCATACCACAAAAGAACCACTTCCTGAAACCATCATATCTTTGGCGCCCATTCTCGACGGACCAGCAACTAATGCGTTTGGGGGCGTAGAAACAGGCAAAAAATATGAATAACAACAAGCAAGGGCAGTTGATAGTCCTAAATACATCGGATGAATTTTTGATACTACACACATATCTAATACAATTGGTGTAAGTATCGTTACACATGCCACATTACTGGAGAGAAACTGTGTAATAATAGACCCTGTGCCACAAAAAACTAACATATTAAAGAACTTAGTTTTACTGAGAAATGGCACAAAATATTCAGCCACCATTATCGCCATACCACTCTTTTTAGCGGCATCTGCCATTGCAAAACCTCCTCCCAAAACCAAGACCATATTCCAGTGCATCTTCTGTGTAAATACTTTCCATGTAAGTATACCTGGAGACTCTCCCGTTGGTCTCTTCTCTTCATTACTGCTAAAAAAATAAAGACACCCAGGATCGATTGGAATAAGGAAAAATAACACAAACACTGTTATAGCCACGACAGCATCTCCGCATTTTTCATCAGTTATCAATAGTGGCCATCCTTTCATAAAGCCAGGCCTCCTAAAAAACCATAAGACAATGGCCATGATGAAACATATAGCCACACTAAATTCTTTAAAACTCATAGGACCAAGATCTTCAATTTTCTTGTCTATGACCGCCTTTGTAGCAGCTGCGGCTTCTATGCCAACTGCCAACTGTTTAGCAGCCTCCGATTTTGGTCGAAACATACCCATGTATAAAATCTGAAGCCATATAATCATTAACACATTAGAAATGAGCATCACAGGAACATTGAACATCATCCATTTTGCGAATTCTACACCAGGGCTGGTGGGAAATGTTTTTTCGTAAATTCCTTTGAACGCTAAATGAGATCCGGAACCAATTATACATCCTGTTCCTCCCAAAAGCGAGCAGTAAGCAATCGAAATATAGTAGCACTTAGTAATACGAGTCGGTCGCCAATCCGATTCTGCTTCTCCTGGTACTTCATACCACCTGTTTATTAGACCTTCTCTTTCAAGAGCCAATAGGGTCCCTTCTACGATAGGAATCATAAGAGCAGTTGCAGCAGTATTTGCTATCCACATGGAAATGAACATTGTGACCATGCCGAGGCCTACATGTAATTTTTTTAAGCTGCATCCAATGCATTTTATTGTACCTAAGGCAATTCTAATGTGTAATCCACTATTTTCCATTGCAATAGCAATCGCCACACTTCCAATTAACATCATATTGGTATCGTTCATGTAATTATGAGCTACCTCGTCTGTACTTTGGACGCCCATAAGTGAAAACAATGGTATCGGTAATATTGAAGTAATTGCTGGGGGTATAGCTTCTGTCATCCATAATGCACACATTATACCAAAACAATATAAGCATCGGAAAGGTTTTATATTGTTCACAAATATTATTGGTAGTGTTACAATTGGATATACAATAAGAAATGTAATTCTCCAATACATGACAAAAAACTCGAAGAACCTCCACATTTTGCTATATTTTGTTTGCTTCGAGTTATATTACAAATTCTTTGACAATATCACTTTGACAAAACTCGTAATGTCACAACCTGAGATCTCAACCATGACACAGTTTATAGCTATAAAGTGTGACCATGATCCACATACTTTGATTACTATACGGGGCAACATAGGGCGCGGCCATTTTGAACCCTATGACACAGTTTATAGCTAAAGAATCAGATGGCTCACTCTGCGTCGGCACTTTTTATCTCAATGTTCCAGTATATACACTGCGCAACTCAGATAATACAATATATGACAACCGCCTATAATAAAGCAGCAGTATTCTGCGCATCCTGAATTTGTATCCCTGGAGTGGATGTTATTTTGGAACTTTCAACTGGTCCGAGTGAGCTAACTGATTCTTTAGCAATAAACTGTGACTCCAAAAATAATATTCCACATACTTTGATTACTATACGAGGCAAGAGAGAGGTCCGACGCGCCCAACATAGGGCGCGGCCATTTTGAACCCTGTGACACAGTTTACAGCTAAAGAATCAGATCGCTCACTCTGCGTCGGCACTTTTGATCTCAATGTTTCAGTTTATACACTGTGCATTTTGGATAATACAATATATGACAACCGCCTATAATAAAACAGCAGTCTTCTGCGTATCCTGAATTTGTATCCCTGGAGTGGATGTTATTTTGGAACTTTCAACTGGTCCGAGTGAGCTAACTGATTCTTTAGCAATAAACTGTGACTTCAAAAATAATATTCACTGACACCACATACTTTGATTACTATACGGGGCAAGAGAGAGGTCCGACACGCCCAACATAGAGCGCGGCCATTTTGAACCCTATGACACAGTTTATAGCTAAAGAATCAGATCGCTCACTCTGCGTCGGCACTTTTTATCTCAATGTTCCAGTTTATACACTGCGCAACTCAGATAATACAATATATGACAACCGCCTATAATAAAACAGCAGTCTTCTGCGTATCCTGAATTTGTATCCCTGGAGTGGATGTTATTTTGGAACTTTCAACTGGTCCGAGTGAGCTAACTGATTCTTTAGCAATAAACTGTGACTCCAAAAATAATATTCACTGACACCCACATACTTTGATGTATGTGCTGACACCACATACTCAAAGTATGTGACTGACACTGACAGCAGCAAGCAAAATATCAGGTGCGTTTTAATCATCCACTTCTGCTTCCGGAATTATCGGTTCAGTCGTTCTAACCTGTCAGATTAAAACAAGAAAACCGACAATTCCGAAGCAGAAGCGGATGATTAAAACGCACCTATTAAAAATATTGCGCCAAGATGTAGGCAACACGTAATAATGGCGGAGTTTTCTATCTCCTTTTAAAAGGCACTCAGAAAGCTGCGCAGTGCGACCATTCTCCGTATAGTAAAAGAAAATCAAAGTATGTGCCATGACCACATACTTTGATTTTCTCTATAATTCTCTATAATTTTTATTCAATACATAATTTCTCTAAAATGCACCGTATTCGAGATATTTAAGAAAATGTGTAAATTTCAAATTTTGAAGAAAACTCAAAAACAGATAAAGGAAAAACATTAAATTTTAAACTTAAGTTTTGCTTCGGCTTAACGTGAAATGATTAGATTTTGGACAAAGTCGGAACATCTGGAAGGGTACTTTATGGGAGGCCGTAGCGTCGCGTAGTGTCGCCACGGCGGCAGTTAAAGCCATCATGGTGATGCATCCTAGCCCAAGAAAACTAAACATAAAAAGGTTTAGTGCGGTGAAGAGTTAACAGAAAAAAAGGGGTTATTGATCAAAATCTGGGGTTTAGTCCGCTAAATAGAGCGTAAAAAGTTAAGCATTTGTATCAAATTTCACTTAGTTATCTTTAAACATTTAGAAAATATTTACAAAAAAGTGTCATCAGGACTTCACTTTTAACACCCTGTATCTCGGAAAAGAAACGTTTATATAAACTTTTAATCCTATTTTAGGATGTAGATTATGCTGTTAAAATATGACCGTCTAATTTCGGGACACCCTGTATATCGAAGAATCCTGAATTTAAATTTTAAATTTTGAGTTTATGATTATGTTATCCTCTAGATGAACTAAGCGAAATAGTTGTGGCTGTTTTTGTGTGAAATTTGAAGACAATAATTATATTTTGTAATATTACAATAAGTAGGAGAACGTTTGCATTAGTAACACAACCTCAATGTGGCGTTCTTTAATTAACCAAAGATCTAGTCATGTAAGTAACACAAATAGTAACCAACTTTTGACACAAAGTAGGTATTTGTGTATTATTTATTGTTTTAGAACAAGAAAATAGCTTCAAAACGTTAGAAAGAAGATTTGATATGAGAAGAAAAATATCTGAATTCCCATTATTGAGTTTGTACTCAAAATTTTTAAATAAGACACCATTCGCCATTCGGTTGCAAAATAAAAACAAAAATGTAATGTTACAAATAACGATCAAAAATTAAAATAATATTTGTCATGAGTCATAAATATAGATTTACAATAATTAATTGATAATAGACTGTAAGTGTGATATTCTTTTTAATAAATAATTTAGCGTAATTACATTGTTTTAATTTATTTTCAAGAACATGAGAGTGCAGTCGATGTTTATACAACCTTTATTATCAGGTTTTAAATTTCCTGCTGCGTTGTTTGATAACGATGCAAACGCCACATAGTGGGTCAGATGTTAACTGCGTTAAAGCTGGTCGTTGTTAAGCATTAGCTTCTTATGAGCGTTTCCTATCTTTATCTCCCTTATCTCTGGCCGTACATTTTGTGCGAAGCTAAGGCGAGTTTACAACATGAGCACTCTCAGTTAACATTGAACGCAATGGATTGTGCAAGGGTCATAAAATAGATCAGGCCAGTGCAATTTGAGTGCTCTCGGTGCTCATGGAACATTAAATAGAATCACTTCATTCTAAACTAATTAGTCTATTTTTGTGTCCTAATTACACTCTTTACATTATCTTCGTTTCATGGACTTTAGGACAAATTTTAACAGAAGAGTTACAATTTAAAAAAATTTCAAGCATTGTATTGTAGTATAACTCAGAACAAGACAAAAACTCCAATGTGCGAAAAATTGCGAAACTTTTAAATCTCTTTTATACTCACCATAACTCATTGAGATAGAATGAACTAGAGACGACATAAAGTTTGTGATATGACAAGTGGACGCAATGTGAGTAATAGAAAAGTGTAATCTAAATTACTGACTGTGTAACGGGGATTTGGCTTTTTAATAAATTTCAAATACTGCTTTGATCGTTTTTTATTTGATTAACACAATTAGAAGTAGTAATTTCCATCAGAGGCGTCGATGTTTCCAGTTATTGACTTAAAAATAGTGCCAATACCATTTACTAGACCACGCTTGTAAAAAAATGTTATCTATTAATAGATTTTGAAACTTGAAGTAATAGTAAAAGTTGATTTTTAATTTCTAAATGAAAACTAGCCACAGGGTGATTACCGCGAGGTTGTATATAATTTTTAGTAAGTATAACAATATTATTTATAGGGTTGATCGTGAATTTGGAAACTGCTGTTCCGATCACCTAAAAAAAAGATTTATTTTCAAGTAAGGTTTTAATAAATCAAAGTTAAATCTTGATTTAAATTTAACACGGTTGCATAATTATTTTTAAGAATTTCTGAAATTTTGAAAAGTCACTATATTTTTTTTGCAGTTTGTTTTTGATCTGAATTTCTTTTACATAGACCTTTTCTCTAAATTTGTAGTCTGGAATTTTAACAGGGATATGTTTATCAAATCGAATTTTTCTGTTAAGAGTAGTTTTAACGCAAGCTATTTTATAGTACACGGAAAAAAATGTGACTAGAAAATTTTACTACAATGTTGTAGTAGTAGACTTGTAGAAAAATACTTAACAATTTGTAGAAAATTTTACTAAAATTTATAATTAAAAATTATTCATTATTGTAGCAATTGAATTGTCGAATAAAATGCTACAACAATAGGAAAGAATTCCACAACGTTTAGTATATTTTACTATTGTTTGTAGAAGTAGAAATTTATTACAATTATCGTAATTACTACTACTAACTTCTGAAAAAATTTGTACAAATATTAATAATTATCTCTACAAAAAATAGTAATTTTCTCTACAAAAAATAGTAATAATTTACATCCCTTCTTATAAAAAATATTCAATTTTGTTCAAAAATATTCTATAATATTGTAGAAATTCTAAGGCATGTAAACAAAACAGAATTCTGCTATTGGCCAACGTTTTCTGACGTCGATCATAAATGGCCAGACAGCAGTAGCCGTTCGCCATGTTCACATAACAAAGCATGGTACATATACGAGTACCTATAACACATTATTATATTATAAGCACCGATGCGTTTGAGAAAATTTTAATAATAAATTCTATTAATGGTAAGTACATTTATTATTGTTTCTGAATAATTTACCTTTAGATAACTAATTTAAATAAATTATGAAGGGAATCCAACCTCTCAAATGTGGCCATCTTCAATGAGAAAATAAAACAACTCCAAATCAATCCCACATATAAATATATTAATTAATCAAGGCGACCGGTTTCGGCTACAAAGCCATTTTCAAGCCTATAACAAGTTGAGTGATATTTTAACAAAGTTGGTAATATTAGCTAGACATTATACATACCTAAGATCTTAGCTGGTTTCTAAAGGTGAAATACAATTGTAGATACACTAAATCTACTATATAAAATTTAACTTAACATATGAGGTGCAAGAGGTACAGTTGATATTAAAGAGTAATGTTTAAAGTGGGATTAAAGTTACACTAAGTAAGAATTTTTAAAAATGTTTTACTATAATTATTTAAATGTATGTGGGAGAGGAATAGAAGAAATTGAAAAATTTTTTGAAAAATTGAAGAAATGGTAGTCGCCCCAGAGTGGGGTGATCCATTCAAATTGTTTTTGAGGCTTCCACAGATTGGGCTTTTGGATGACCGCGGATTGGTATTGCTCTAAAATTTGTTGTGGAGCTAGTAGAGAACAGATAGAATGGCCAATCTGGCTATTCCTATCCTTGAAGTGG